CAATTACGGGCATCAAGATGTCTGGATTTGGCGCGAAACCCTGCCAATAAAAATCCGACGATTGCGTTCGATCGATATTGACCGGTCAGACGAGATGACGGGAAGTGTGTACCCTTTTTTTGCGCATGAGCGTTTAGGTGAAGAATTTATTTCGTATATTGTATATCAAACAGAACTCATTTTCGGTTTACGTAATACGTCTTCGTCACATTCGTAAATAGGGACTTTTAGATTGAGTGGACGAGAACACGACGAACGCCGACTGATCATGCGTGTCAACGTACTTAACTGCCCATGTTACAATTAGAAATCTTTTAGATTGCACTCGACGATATATACATACATGCAGGAAGTAACACTACATCACGGACAAAGAAAGAGGACAAAATATACAGTTCCTCGTTCTACCCTCAACAAAAGAACATCCCTTCACTGCTATTATGTAAAAATGTGTAGATCAGGTGAATATGCATGTGACACCTGTTCTACATATTTTTACATAATAGCAGGGAAGGGATGTTCGTTTGTCTACCTGAGGAACTGTATATTTTATGCGCACGCGGCATACTAGTACCTTGAGCATGTAAAGGCGCTATATAAATATCAATATGTATGTATGTATGTATGTATGTACTAGATTTAGGAAAATCGAGGTTGATGCATTCTCGATCGCCGACTGAGACGACGTAACGCATGCGCAGTGCCTTAAAATGACGTCACATGTTGCAGTCAAGGCTGTTGACGTGCAAATCTAAAAGTCCCTACTTTCAAAAGGCGACGAACAAGGCCCCTAAAATGGCCTTAGTTTGATTTTTCGTAAGTACTTGCGATCGTCTGACACGCCGCTTGGAAATATCATGAGGCAAGTTTACGCTAGAGACGGGCTTTAGGTGGAAGATAGGGGGAAGTTTAAAGATAAAGTTCAGCTCTGGTCACGTCTTTACGCGGTTGAGGAAAGGGTTGATTATATATAGTGTAGCACATTTGCATTGATGTATATACTGCCAGTTGTTGAAAATATTACAATGATAAGAAAATCTCTAATAGGAAATAGTTATTCTTAATTTGTTTGTCATAGCCGATTATGAGGGCATTTGACAGTTTTGCAGAACGGGCCCTTTGAAGAGACATTTTATTCTAGGAGGAATGAAAAAGCCAAAAAAATACATTCAACCTTCGATCCCCACAACTCGACCTTGTCTTTTAAGGAAAACAACTTTTTGAAGAACAATCCTGTTCGGGATATATTTTGTTCTAGGATTTTCTTCCTTGCTCAGGAATCGACCTCTCTTGTTACGAAAAAAAGTTTTGTCCATCTGTGCCACGGAGCGCAGACAAGAGAAAGTGGACCGATCAAAAATTGGCAGCGGCTTCCGCCTCCACTTGAGACCGGAAGGGTCGGCACAGAATCGTGTTGGCCACTAGCAGCGCTTTTCATCTGATTGAGTGAGAGAGAGAGAGAGAGAGAGAGGGGGAGGGAGAATGAGGTATAGAAAGGGAGATAGAGAGAGAGAGAGAGAGAGGGGGTGGGAGAGACAGAGACAGACAGACAGTGGGAGAGAGAGAGAAAGAGGGAGCGAGAGAGAGAGAGAGAGAGAGAGAGAGAAGAGAATAGAGACAGATGGAGGGAGAAGAAAATAGAGAGATAGAGAAGAGAATAGAGAGAGTGGGAGAGAGAGAGATGGAAAAGGAGAGACAGACAGAAAAGAGAATAGACAGAAAGAGAGAGAGAGAGAGAGAGAAAAAAGAGAGAGAGAAAGAGAGGATACCACACACACGGGGGTAGGCAGCCAGGGGGGGGGGGGGGGGAGTGAGGAAGAAGACAGGATAAGAGAGGGTCAAGTATGTCAAGTTTTATCTGTATTATATTCGAACCCGCTTTATTGAGTTTTATGAAGGAACAATTTAGACGTATCAAAATTCGTTTTTGGCCATTTGGGCTGTCGACGGCTATAGTTGTGATTCGCACTTCAATGCTTGGTCTTAGACATCGAGAAGGCATCGGCATCGTGGGGCGGGGGGGGGGGGGGGCAGCAATCTTACTTGATGAGAGAAATGCACGTTTAGAAGGAGTGAGGTAGGTAACTCGATGTCTTTGTTCTCGTGTTCCCTCTCCTAGTCCTGCTCTTATTTCCTTTCTTTTTCTTATACCCCTGTTCGCCATTTAGCTAGGGGCACGTGTCCCCCTTTCGCCGAAACTACTCCGATGAATTCTCATAGAGGTCTTAAGTCCGTCTTTCTTTCACATCAAACATTCATTACAGTTGTAGACGTTTAGCCTGACCCAGCTTCGCCGTCGATAAATGCCATCTTTCTTCGACGTCTTCCTCCTAGCGATTTCAAGCCTAAATTTCCTGTTCTTTCAAGGGGCATCCATAAACTAGGAGTGTCTAGACAAGACAAATTGACAATCGGAGCCCACAAAAGTGCGAACGAAATCTCACTCCCCTGTCTGTCTCGCGGGTAATATCATCTAGACACAACTAGACTAAACGATTTGTTTGAAAATCCGGGGAATTAATGGATGTGTCGCAGTATTATTGTTGATCTGAAACATTTTCGAGTGACCGGTGCCTCCATACTCACTTTAAGAGGAAAACAAAAGGCTATGGATGGGTATTTACCGAGCATCAACAGGATCATGTCTTTATTTAGCCAATACCCAGTGTTCTTATTTACTTTGTTCTACATTCGCTGACCGCCTGACCGCTCTTCCGATGTTACATTTTTTTCTCTCGAGTTCTTTCAACCTCGTCTTCTGCTCTTGACACTGTCTATCTCTTCACCTTTCCCTAAATATCTATTTCTTTTAATAATAATAATAATAATAATAGCTAACATTTATAATGCGCCTAATAATGTTTCTAGGCGCGGCACATATTATTATAACCCTGGGCATCGGATTCAGGCTTACCCGCAAACACAATGTATGCACATTTTCCACTCCCTGGGGAGTACTCCAGCCAGTCGCCATTTTACAAGCGCCACATGCTAACCCAACCATCGTCATTTTGTTTTGTTGAATGTTTGCCCTTATTTATCATCATTATTATTAATTTATTGACTAAATCAGACTATGACATCACTAATATTTGGGGGTCATGTATTACGTAAGCATTGCTTCATAGGTAAAGCAGGTCCATCCATTCTCAATGCAAAAATTGGTCAATGTTTAAATTCCACTAGGAATCTTTTAGAGGAACAACAACCAAGTACTAAATGTAAACTGTTAATACACCAGTTTATGGTTGTATCAGTGCGCATGCGCAGACAGTTGACCTCGGTCATTGGCCCTGAAACAAAGCCAATGACCCGAGGTCAGTGGTATTTATGCGTAAATTAAGATTGCGCCCATGCAAATGATGAGGTGCGCGCAAAACGCAGCGCGTAGGCAGTGATGTCATCATAATTTGCATGGGCGCAACCTTAATTTACGCTCAAATACATGACCTCTAGGTCATTGGCTTTGTTTAAAATGGCGCACACAACCGTAAACTGGTGTATAATTAAGTTGTGCACAATTTGTTTCATGTTTGATTGAAATGAATCCGTATCACAGTATTCTGTATTATGAATCAATTATTACTACGCCTACATCATCATCCTCATTGCCAATTCAATTCAATTTCAAGTATCCATAATAATTGATTTCTATTTTAAACTTGTACGTTTGCATTAAAGTAGTCACCGGAAGAAACTTCACGGCAAATGACAATTATGGACAAATAATATATGGATGAAAAGATTTTCTTTTGAAAAACACGAATAATTTTCTGAAAAATCATTTAGATATCATGGAAAGGCGTAAAATGCTTTGTGGCTAGCTGTGTCTCGCATGTGACGTCACTAATCTTGACGCTCTACGGAGGACGGTGAAGACAGAAAATCTGGATCTCAAAATTAACTTTTTTGAGAGATGGTTACTGCGGGCCCCCAACATATTTTGAAGAGTGAAGTTGTTATACTTCCCCTTCTCCTTCGCAATGATATGAATTTTGCATCAATTTAAAACACTTTTGATTCTTTGGGTGACTACTTTAAGCACTTGCAATTGAATTGCACACACATTACATCTCTCTACAAAACATTTCTGAGCAATCACGTTAACTCGTACCCACTGCAGCTCTACCGACAACCCCATTTAACTCGAGTACACTGTAGGATACGTGTCCCAAGACATTGGTTATGCATACGTATTAACCACTCGAACGCGCTGCTCCAATTCGGATCAGTTATCGGACGGCAATCCGGATCACATACACTGTTAAAAATTTCACTGTAGAAATTACAGTAAATTACTGGCAACTTTGTTGCACAGTAAATTACTGTAACTTTGACATTACAGTAACTTCCTGTAAGTTTTTCAACAGTAACTTGCTGTAAGACATTAAAATACTGTAAGCTTACTGTAAAGAAATTTTCATGTATAAGGTTACAGTATTTATTGTAAGTTCTTCTTACAGTTAATTAATGTAATTTTATTCACAGTAATTTAAATGTATTTACAGTTATGTACTGTAAGTTTTTCTCTACAGTAAATTAATGTTATTTCTCTCATTTACATTAAGTTAATGTAATAAGTACAGCTTTTCTACTGTGACTTTAGCAGTATCATCCTGTTAATTTTGTATCTATTTCTCTCATTTACATTAAGTTAATGTTATAAGTACAGCTTTTCTACTGTGACTTTAGCAGTATCATCCTGTTAATTTTGTATCTATTTCTCTCATTTACATTAAGTTAATGTAATAAGTACAGTATTCTACTGTGACATTAGCAGTATCATCCTGTTATTTTGTTATCTATTTCTCTCATTTACATTAAGTTAATGTATTAAGTACAGTATTCTACTGTGACATTAGCAGTATCATCCTGTTATTTTTTTTAATCTATTTCTCTCATTTACATTAAGTTAATGTAATAAGTACAGTATTCTAACTTGACATTAGCAGCATCATCCTGTTAATTTGAGGAAAAAACAAGCTTTCTGAACACAAAAATCATTATTAAAGTCTTTATTGGGTAATCAACGCTCCATAAAACAAGTTTCTCAAATAGTGTAACATTATGAAAATGCTTGCAAAGAAACTATCAAGTAAAACATTAAAACAAGTAAAACCACTAAAAACTGCAAAAGTTCAAGTACTCAAGAATCTACAGACCCATAGTCATCCTTCCAGTATCTCAAAAATTCTTGAAAAAATTGTTTAGATTATACCAATTCTGAAATACACATAACTTGCTTAATCCCAACCAATATGGCTTTAAAAAAAATCATTCACCCGACCTAGCATTAATTTAATTATACGACAGAATAACACATGCAATTGTGCAGACATAGCGGCTTTAAGGCATTGATATGCTAAATCACAACGTATGGCTTAGGGGCACTGCACTTTCTTGGGTCAAAAATTATTTGTCGAACAGACAACAATATGTTCACTTTAAAATTCTGAATTGTAAAAAACTATTGTAAAGAATTATCTTCAATTGTAAACAAGACATATTTTATACACTTTTATCTTCCTTTAAAGCCACTATTAAACGACAACTACTATCAGAATACAATCAATGAAAAGTCTCCATATACCTGGCAGAATCAAGGAAAACTCTCTATACCTGGTAGAATCTCTCCAAAAGACATTACTCACTTTATTTTTGTTTAATTTATCTTTTGAACTAATACCCCATTTAATTTGAGTTGCTCTGTTATATTAAACTTGTAATCTTTAATACGTGTTTCATATTCTTCTGTATTTTTGTCTCATTTACATGCCAATTCTGCACAGAAACTTGTTTCAACTTCATGAGCTGTCATTCAATTGATTGATTGATTGATTTATTGACGGTAAAAGCCCTATTCAGCTACTCGGCTGGTTTACAAAGGGGCTGTGCAAAATAACAAAAACCGTAAAACATACTTGACAATAAGAAAATATACATGATATACAGAAATTAATGAAATAGAATTACCAATGTGCACAATGAACAAAGAAAATAGAAAATATGATCAATTTGTGTACATGTAAAATGAAAACATAAAATTATGAAATTCGTTTAGCTACAATATTGCTACGTATTAAATATGATAAAAAAACATATTACCATATAACGTAACATATATCGTAATAAAATATAAGTTACTTAAAAAAAATATATTATTATATAACTTGAAATATGTCGAAATAAAATATAGGTTACTTAAATATAGGCCTAATATTTGGCAAATTCATTTATTTCATGACTTATTAAATTTATTAAAATAAAGGTGTATTGCATGTACAGACTAAAATATATGAAAATTCACTAAGGTAAAATAATGCTAAATTGCAAGTAATGTAAAACATATTTTGGAAAACAGTAAGTAAACAATCAAGCAATGCTTATGATGACAAGGCTGCACACATGCCAGGCTCACAGAATACATGTGCTAATGCTTTGTCTAGGAAGTTCAATGACCGCTATGCAAAGGCTCATCTTTTGGGAATGCTCTGCCATCATAAACATCACGTAGAATGGTCCTTTGTAAAGCAGGTTGAGCTTTATGAGTCTCTTTGTAATCTTTGATAAATGAGTTCTGCTTGAATAATGCTTTTAGTGTGTCTTGAATTTTAATGTATTGGCAAAATCGCTGTTTGCCAAATTGATCTTCTCCTAAATATATCTCAGTTGGGGAAACATAATCAAAAACTGCTTTAAAATGTGATTTTCTTGTAGACTCTGATCGAAATTCTTTACAATTTGAAGCACTGAACAAATCCTCTGATTTAAATAAAGTTAAAACGTTGGTAACCTCATCATCGGTAATTCCTATTCCTTCAAGTTTCTTTTTTAATTTTGGTATCAAATTTTGTTGGCTTAATGCATGAATATCCTGAACTGTGTCAATTATTTCCTGAATTGTAGAGTTGGGCAGTAGTAATTTTGCCTCCAACTTCAGATAAAACAAGGATAAGCTGTGTTTGAATGAGTCAGCGGATACATCTACTTCATCATCTGTCACACTTTCCTCGTCACTTGAGTGCAGTCTTCCAGGAAACTCCTGATTATTTTCTTGGGCGGATTCAGTTAACACAGTACCAGTTTCACTTGAAGTTGAGTCTAACTGAATCTGGTCTAACTTATTGTGAACTCTTGATATATGTGACGCAAAAGACGACCTCACTGAAAAACGTTTTTTGCAATTGGCAAAAGGACAGCGTATTTCAACTCCGTGTTTGATATGAACTCTAAGATGAGAAAGTATGTCATGGATTTCCTCACATTTTACAGCACAGAGTGGACAATTCCAGGTAGAAACGCAGAAAAACTGGGCATCTTTTTTTCTTGAAAATGGTTGATGATCCCTATGCACATGGGTTTTGAAGGATGAATAATTTCTGAATGTTCGATTGCAGCCAGGAACACCACACGGGAAATCGAAATTCATCACATTTCTATGGACTGAAAAGTGTTCAGAAAACCGCTTCAATGATCCAGAAGAATGATTACATAGCTTACAAACGTACATGGGTATATGATGTCCATGTAGAGCATCCGTCTGATTAGTGTTTCAGCATGCACACTGTGTGACTTCAGCAGTAATCCATGGCATACTGCAAGAAAGAAGAGCGGAAAACAATACCTTTAATATGCATACGTACACATAACTTTTTATGTACAGCATTGACAGATTAAAAGTTATTTAAATGATAAATGAATAATAAAAAAAAAGATAAAGGACAAAAAATACAAAAGAAAATCGAAAGAAAAACATAAATTCATCAAATATAACCAGTTGTCACGAGCCTCCTGATGATGACTGTATGCGAAACCTTCAGCAAAAAAACATTTGATTTCACGGCTATGAATGTTACTACATAAGTGAAATTAACATTCATTTGCGGTAAATGAAACTACAATAGATTTCTGTAAAACAAATTTACAATCCTTAAAGACAAAAATTACTGTAATTTACTGTTAGTATTTGAAGAACCTACGGTAACAGCAATTTACTCTAAGAAATGCAGTGATTTACTGTAGGAAAGTTTACAGGCAGATACTTTGAGTAAAAATTGATGGTAACTTACTGTAGATATAACCTACAGTTACTGTAAATTAAAATTACAGTGAATTACAGTAGACAAGTACTCAAAATTAATATGAAATAAAATTACTGTAATTTACTGTAAACTAGCAGTAAGTTACTGTAAATTACAGTAATTTTACAGTAATTACTCAGTAATTTTACAGTAACTTACTGCCAGTTACGGAATGGCCTATTTGGTTGCTATGACAACGCTGCGACCTTCAAAAAAGTAAATTACAGTAATTTTACAGTAAATTACAGTAATTTTAAAGTAACTTACTGTAAATTACTAAGTAACAGTAAAATACTAAGTAATTTTACAGTAACTTACTGTAATTTTATTTCATATTTTAACTTTTAAGTAAAATTACACTATGCAGCAGGATTGCCAGTACTTTGCTGTAATTTCTTCAGTAACGTGCTGTAGACTACACTACATGAGCTTAGACTTGTGCGTATTCAACTGATCACGCAGTGTGCTCATGATGGACTGATGCTGTAGTCGATCGTAGTGTGTGCGGTGTCCTATAAGTTATAAGTCTTGATGGTCTTGACGTTAGACATTTCCAATTTAACGTGAGCATGCATATCCATGTGCAATGGCATCGCATTGACAGTGACACTGTACGCTGGTACTGCAGTACAGTGTCATGTGCTGCACTAACACTACCGACTCTGTCCCACACACCACAGCACAGCACGTACAGTACACATATACCGTAGACGGAACAATTACAAACACAATCCCTATACTTTCCACAGTCTGACAATTCTTCACTTCAGCGGGATACAAATCAAATCATGACTCTGATAATTGGCAATCTGTAACTTACCTCGGATCCCCTTGGAATTGACTTATTGGTCATCAATATCCCAGCTCGAGGATCAGGACCAGGAACAGAACAGATTCAGATTCGTTGCTCAGGATCAGGCCGGCCAGCTCAGCTATATATCTCAGCTCAAATCTTTGCAGAAAATTAAAAATGGCGGCGCGGCGTGGCGGGCTAGCGCGGGAGCCAATCACGTGCAACGCATACGCGCATATGCAGCCGATCCGCCTAATGCGCATGTGCGCTGTATCCCACAATGCTTTTTGCACGCTCCTTTACACTAGCTTACTGTAGATATTTGTTCCCATGCTCTACGACACTGATGTTTACAGCAATATACTGTACAGCAACGTACTTATACAGTTAATTATCGTAAAATCGTTATTACAACATATTACTGTTGTAAATCACAGTATTTTACTGCATGAGTTACAGCAAATTTTTACAGTGTACCGCGGCTCCGAAAGCCGATCCGATTTGGAAGAGGTGGGCGAGGAGTGCATAGCTGGAATGGTCACGCGTGGCTGTTAGGCGAGAGCCCACAAAGGCATCTTAATCGCCATGGTATCCAGTTAATCCGGCGTGAATTTCGGGAAGAAAACGACGGAGTCAGAACAGCAACTATAGCTATGTTCACACGACAGTAAACAGATTTAAAATTTAGCTCGAGGTTTTAAACTTCGAGATGGATTATCTTGCGAGTCGAGGATCTTGCGTACGCACCCGTGGTTACGGAAATCCTGGGTTACTCGAAGTTCTACACCACATGCTATCCCATGGTTAACGCGAAAAAGTATGAGAAGCTTAATGTTCCGCCAGGCTGTAGATACAACGAACTCCACGACTATTTTCTCGGCTGGTTTAAGACGTACCTCGAGCAGTCGTTGTTTCGGTACCTGTTGAAACCGTGACAGGTTTTGACAACTCAAAGATTAAAACTGCGACAATGCCATATGAACATGATTGACAAAATTAATGTGCAGTGTTTTGAAGGACACGGAGAGTAAGTCGTGGTTGACTTACATCGATTTACATAGATGGGTCGGCTAAAAATATACTTTTCCCATGAGGAGTAGCATGAAAGGAAATAAACATCAGGAGAAGTTATAGAGAAAGAGAGAAAGAGAGAAAGAGAGAGAGAGAGAGAGAGGGGAGGAAAGAGAGAGACACACACAGAGAAAGAGAGACCTTGGCAGCATGTTAACATCCGGTCGGAAAGCAAGTTCACATGTTACGAATTCTCTTTTGAAAAACGCCATCATCACTGCCACAGGGCACCATCCACTAGAATAAAAATTGTCACATGTATACATATCATTCATTGACGAAATTCAAACGACACAAGAGTTTTATATAAACATGATATATTTCAAACAAATTAATCGAAGGCTAATTTTGGCCTTTCCAGAGACCCATTAATAAACATTTTGTTACAAATCGTTACTTCTTTATTTTATTCATATCGTTATTAAGGTCGCAAATATAGTGGTTTGTAAACAGTTACATATGGTAAATTAAAACATGTAGTGATTTAATGAATGATACTCTCACTACGAAAACGGCGGTTTAAATGAGCGCCAGCATGAGACGTTTATTGTGGAAATGGTTAGCAATGGGAAGAAGTGAAAGGAAATTAAACAGAGAATAAGAGAGAAAACAATAAGAGAGAGAGAGAGAGAGAGAGAGAGAGAGAAAGAGAATGTGAGAGATAGGGTTAGCCTCCGGGATGCGCGTTTCCGTTTTACACCCTGCCCTAGGCTTTTCTCCAATAAAATTTTACAAACCGACTGGTATTCGGAGTCTAGTCGTCCACATCTTGCCTCGGCGCTCTGCACACCACCTGAACTCTGAAAACGTCACGTAGCGCTAGCTAACTCTCTATACTAACTAGTTGATCTTCCTACTCCTAGTCGTATCATTTATTTTTATTCATTAATACGCAATACTCTAAGAGCGTGAGGATGCGTGATCAGCTCGCAAAATTTAGCCCAGCGATAACAAAACAATAATATATCGGGAAAACCGTCTTGAACAAGAAGACCCTCGCATCCCCAATTGAAATTGTACATAAGCTTTGGCTTCGCTATTCTTGACGTCGATATAAACAAACTTAGACTTCGGATACAGCATGTTTCGTGTAATTTCTTGCCGAAAAGCCTAGGGCAGGGTGTAAAACGGAAACGCGCCTCCGGGATGCGACTTTGCGTTTTACACCCTGGCCTGGACATTTTCCCGGTAAATAGCAATGAAACTGCTTGAATGAGTCTAGTCTACGCTCCTCGATCGGGCGCGCCAGTTCCAAATCGAATCGTACATGCACAGACGTACGTCGATGCAGCATTTATACACACCGTACGCAGCTGCAATACTGAAGATTAAGGGAGAAGATATAGGATTTCAAGTTCAGAACAACAAGTTAAGAAGCTTGCTGCACGATGGAATTCATCGAGGATGATGACGGAGTGGCAATGCAGACGCCTTTGCGGGTATGAATACTGTAAATCCAGTTTTGAATATGAGTACGATTAACTGTAACTGTTAGGCATCCATAGTTAGCAAAACTAAGAGTAAGACTAAGTGAGTCGCTGCACAGTGTCACATTGTCACTGTCACTGTCAGTACTGTCTGTCAGTCAACATTAACAACAGCAATGTCAATTGGACTAGCTAAGCATAAGTAACAATGTAAACAAACATAACGTTAGATCTAACGTTATGTAGTCTAGGACTGCAGGAGGGCCTAACTTAATGATTATATTAGTGTTACGGTAGGCCTACTGTTTTCTTGAAATTCAAACATTTTTAACTTTTCATGTTAGTTGTGCACCAGAACCACATAAATGCTTGGGAAATTTCATATTTGCACTCGTTTCAAGCTTCAATTGCCAAGATGCAGTTTACAAGTACATGTACTAGTATATTATAAAAAATGGTGAATAAATCACAATATCTCTGTGGATTATCTAAATAATAATTATAATATTGGATGATCAATTTTCGCGAAATACGTGAAATATTGTTACTCGCTGAAGAAAAATATTTTCACGTATCATCCATTATTATGTGTATTCAGTTTGTTATCTCCAAAGTAAAGTGCGGTGCACGCCTCTGCGCCCATGAATCCGCCTATGTTCAGATCTCTTTTTATCTACATGTGCATGTATTTTCAAATAAAAATTTCTTATAGTCATTTCTTGCATCTAAATCTTAACACACTGTCAAATTATCTGTTCAAATTTCTACTATTGTTTGCTTTCACTTTTACTACATATTTCTTCTTTATATAACTATTTATGCATACACATACTCCTGTATCTTTTGTATTACTTCTCTGACATTGAAGGATTAGATTACCTTCACGAAAAAAAAAAGTATATGAATGTAAAGCAGTAAATAAAGTGCAAATGAATTCATGTAAAACTGGTGTATAATTTCCTTTATATGTTATGTGTCTGTACATTACACTAGACAAAGTGATGAATGGAAAAAGAGAGAAAGAGAGGTCTTATAAACAAATATCATGAATTTAAAATGAGAAAGAGAGAAAGGGAGAGAGAGACAGAGGTCTTAGAAACAAATATGAATTCAAGAAGTGAGAAAGAGAGGGGGTCTTAGAAACAAATATCATGAATTGAGAGCTAGAGAGAGAGAGGTCTTAGAAACAAATATCAAGAAATGAGAAAGAGAGGGGGGGGGGGGGTCTTAGAAACAAATATGAAGAGAGAGAGAGAGGCCTTAGAAACAAATATGAAGAGGGGGTTAATGAGAGAGAAAGAAAGAGGGGTCTGAGAAATACATACGAGAGAGAGAGTGGGTCGAGAGAGAGAGGTCTTAGAAAACAAATATGAATAGAGATGGGGGGGGGGGGGGGCGGGGGAGAAATGGGTCTTAGAAAACAAATATGAAGAGAGATGAGGGGGGGGGGAGGTCTTAGAAAACAAATATGAAGGGAGAGGGGTCAAGAGAATTAGAGAAATTAGGTCTTAGAAACAAATGACATGAATTTAAAAAATGAAAGACGTGATCCCACAATAATAGAAAATGGTACGAGTGCAATATTTAAATCACAGTTTATGTATTACATTACCATTACACATATTATGTCGAGTGTAGTCTGTGTATGTGTCGATATGTGTACACGTGTGTTAGGGGGGGGGGGGGGGTCCGAATCAGCAAATGGTTTGAAAGTAGGCTACACGTCAAAAATTGAAACCCTGAAGAAGGCGGAATTAAACCACAAAAACCATAATATTATTTGGTTTCTCTCTTCCTTACTTTGATTAATTCCTTCTCTAATTTCTCTCTTTCTTTCAAGTTAGTTTTTGTTTTCTCTCTCTGCTTATGACATTCTTTGTTTCCTCTCTGTTCTTTAATTATTTATTGTTTTTCTCTATTTCCTTCTGTTGTTATTCGTTGTTTTTCTCTCACTCGTACGTCTCGATACAAAAGTACATGTACCGCGTACCGCGACACTGGACATATAGGACGTACGTTGAGCATTGCAGAAGAGCTACGTGCGCGCGCAATATCTTGTCATGAATAGACTTTTCCCAGTCGGTTCCTTGAAATTTATTGGGAAAAGGTCCAGGCCAGGGTGTAAAACGCAAAGTCGCCTCCGGGATAGCCTACATAGCCTATGTTGGAAGGTAAACGGTTAGGTAAATAATCCCATCTCCATCTATAATTAAACTGGAAACTCATGTGAGGACATTGATCAATGACATGAGTCACGTGACTGTGTCATGTTCTTTTTGAGCAGTGTACACGGGAACTCGAAGATAAAAGAACGCCGTCATCTTCTCATACACGACCACCTGCTCGATCATTGATATCAGGGGGAGATCGATCGCAGCCGAGGGATACGCTTCGTCCAGTCGAAACACCAACCGCCTCGTAAACTCGTTTTGGAGACCAGAAGTTCTTCTGGGGATTTCATCGAAAACAAAAATAAGTTAAAAAATAGAAAAGAAATAAAGAAAGAAGTGGAGGAGGGGGACGAGGAGGAGGAATAATGATAATTATAATAATAATAAGAAGAAAAAGTAGAAGAAGAAGAAGATGAAAAAGACGAAGAAGTAGAAGAGGAAGAAGAAGAAGACGAGAAAATTTGTATTTTATTTATATTCCAAATGGGCGAATCGATCCCAAAATTAATGAAAGATTAAAGACCACATTCAGATACGAAATATTTTAAAAAACGAAATGCGATTACAATGGGGTCACTAGCTAGAACATGCGAGACAAAATACTTACGGTGTTGAAAGCAAGAAGAAAATTAGATTGTATTAACCAAATACATACTTTAGGAAGAGAGAGAGAGAGAGAGAGAAGTCGGGGGCATATAAAGAGAGGCAAAAACCCTTCCCCGTTTCATGTCTTAAATTGGCAACCGTCGTGTAAGTTGGAAAATCGAATTTAAAAAGTAAAGTAACTACAGCATTTATAACAG